CATGACATGAACTCACCCGCCAGTACTCCTCACCATGACATGAACTCACCCACCAGTACTCCTCACCATGACATGAACTCACCCACCAGTACTCCTCACCAAGACATGAACACACCCACCAGTACTCCTCACCATGACATGAACTCACCCACCAGTACTCCTCACCAAGACATGAACTCACCCACCAGTACTCCTCACCATGACATGAACACACCCACCAGTACTCCTCACCAAGACATGAACACACCCGCCAGTACTCCTCACCAAGACGTGAACTCACCCGCCAGTACTCCTCACCAAGACGTGAACTCACCCGCCAGTACTCCTCACCAAGACGTGAACTCACCCAACAGTACTCCTCACCAAGACATGAACTCACCCACCAGTACTCCTCACCATGACATCAACAAACCTGCCAGAACTCCTCACCATGACATGAACACACCTGCCTGTACTCCTCACCATGACATAAACACACCTGCCTGTACTCCTCACCATGACATAAACACACCCACCAGTACTCCTCACCATGACATCAACAAACCTGCCAGAACTCCTCACCATGACATAAACACACCTGCCTGTACTCCTCACCATGACATAAACACACCTGCCTGTACTCCTCACCATGACATAAACACACCCACCAGTACTCCTCACCATGACATCAACAAACCTGCCAGAACTCCTCACCATGACATAAACACACCCACCAGTACTCCTCACCATGACATCAACAAACCTGCCAGAACTCCTCACCATGACATAAACACACCCACCAGTACTCCTCACCATGACATCAACAAACCTGCCAGAACTCCTCACCAAGACATGAACTCACCCGCCAGTACTCGTCACCATGACATGAACACACCCACCAGTACTCCTCACCAAGACATGAACACACCCGCCAGTACTCCTCACCATGACATAAACACACCCACCAGTACTCCTCACCATGACATGAACTCACCCGCCAGTACTCCTCACCATGACATGAACACACCCGCCAGTACTCCTCACCATGATATGAACACACCCGCCAGTACTCCTCACCATGACATGAACTCACCCACCAGTACTCCTCACCATGACATGAACACACCCACCAGTACTCCTCACCAAGACATCAACAAACCTGCCAGAACTCCTCACCATGACATGAACACACCTGCCAGTACTCCTCACCAAGACGTGAACTCACCTACCAGAACTCCTCACCATGACATGAACACACCCACCAGAACTCCTCACCATGACATAAACACACCCACCAGTACTCCTCACCAAGACATCAACAAACCTGCCAGAACTCCTCACCATGACATGAACACACCTGCCAGTACTCCTCACCATGACATAAACACACCTGCCTGTACTCCTCACCATGACATGAACTCACCTGCCAGAACTCCTCACCATGACATGAACTCACCCACCAGTACTCCTCACCATGACATGAACTCACCCGCCAGTACTCCTCACCAAGACATGAATTCACCCACCAGTACTAATCACCAAGACATGAACACAACCGCCAGTACTCCTCACCATGACATGAACTCACCCGCCAGTACTCCTCACCATGACATGAACTCACCCACCAGTACTCCTCACCATGACATGAACTCACCCACCAGTACTCCTCACCATGACATGAACTCACCTGCCAGTACTCCTCACCATGACATGAACTCACCCACCAGTACTCCTCACCATGACATGAACTCACCCACCAGTACTCCTCACCATGACATGAACTCACCCACCAGTACTCCTCACCATGACATGAACTCACCCACCAGTACTCCTCACCATGACATGAACTCACCCAACAGTACTCCTCACCAAGACATGAACACACCTACCAGTACTCCTCACCATGACATGAACTCACCCACCAGTACTCCTCACCAAGACATGAACTCACCCGCCAGTACTCCTCACCATGACATGAACTCACCCACCAGTACTCCTCACCAAGACATGAACACACCCACCAGTACTCCTCACCAAGACATGAACTCACCCACCAGTACTCCTCACCAAGACATGAACTCACCCGCCAGTACTCCTCACCAAGACATGAACTCACCCACCAGTACTCCTCACCATGACATGAACTCACCCACCAGTACTCCTCACCATGACATGAACTCACCTGCCAGTACTCCTCACCATGACATGAACACACCTGCCAGTACTCCTCACCATGACATGAACACACCCACCAGTACTCCTCACCATGACATGAACACACCCACCAGTACTCCTCACCATGACATGAACTCACCCACCAGTACTCCTCACCATGAGACATGAACACACCCCTGCCAGTACTCCTCACCATGACATGAACACACCTACCAGTACTCCTCACCATGACATGAACACACCCACCAGTACTCCTCACCATGACATGAACAAACCTGCCAGTACTCCTCACCATGACATGAACACACCCACCAGTACTCCTCACCATGACATGAACACACCTGCCAGTACTCCTCACCATGACATGAACACACCCACCAGTACTCCTCACCATGACATGAACTCACCCTGCCAGTACTCCTCACCAAGACATGAACTCACCCACCAGTACTCCTCACCATGACATGAACACACCCACCAGTACTCCTCACCAAGACATGAACACACCCACCAGTACTCCTCACCATGACATGAACACACCCACCAGTACTCCTCACCATGACATGAACTCACCCACCAGTACTCCTCACCATGACATGAACACACCCGCCAGTACTCCTCACCATGACATGAACACACCCACCAGTACTCCTCACCATGACATGAACTCACCCACCAGTACTCCTCACCATGACATGAACACACCCACCAGTACTCCTCACCAAGACATGAACACACCTGCCAGTACTCCTCACCATGACATGAACACACCCACCAGTACTCCTCACCAAGACATGAACTCACCTACCAGTACTCCTCACCATGACATGAACACACCCACCAGTACTCCTCACCATGACATGAACACACCCACCAGTACTCCTCACCATGACATGAACTCACCCACCAGTACTCCTCACCATGACATGAACACACCTGCCAGTACTCCTCACCATGACATGAACACACCTGCCAGTACTCCTCACCATGACATGAACTCACCTGCCAGTACTCCTCACCATGACATGAACTCACCCACCAGTACTCCTCACCATGACATGAACTCACCCACCAGTACTCCTCACCATGACATGAACTCACCCACCAGTACTCCTCACCAAGACATGAACACACCCACCAGTACTCCTCACCATGACATGAACTCACCCACCAGTACTCCTCACCATGACATGAACTCACCTCACCAGTACTCCTCACCATGACATGAACTCACACCAGTACTCCTCACCATGACATGAACAACACACCTTACCAGTACTCCTCACCATGACATGAACACACCTGCCAGTACTCCTCTCACCATGACATGAACTCACACATGAACTGCCACCAGTACTCCTCACCATGACATGAACTCACCTGCCAGTACTCCTCACCATGACATGAACACACCCACCAGTACTCCTCACCATGACATGAACTCACCCACCAGTACTCCTCACCAAGACATGAACTCACCTGCCAGTACTCCTCACCATGACATGAACTCACCTGCCAGTACTCCTCACCATGACATGAACACACCTGCCTGTACTCCTCACCATGACATGAACTCACCTGCCAGTACTCCTCACCATGACATGAACTCACCCACCAGTACTCCTCACCATGACATGAACTCACCCGCCAGTACTCCTCACCATGACATGAACTCACCCACCAGTACTCCTCACCATGACATGAACACACCCAGTACTCACCATGACATGACTCACCAGTACTCCTCACCATGACATGAACTCACCCGCCAGTACTCCTCACCATGACATGAACTCACCTACCAGTACTCCACACCATGACATGAACTCACCTGCCAGTACTCCTCACCATGACATGAACACACCTACCAGTACTCCTCACCATGACATGAACACACCCACCAGTACTCCTCACCATGACATGAACTCACCCACCAGTACTCCTCACCATGACATGAACACACCTGCCAGTACTCCTCACCATGACATGAACTCACCCACCAGTACTCCTCACCATGACATGAACTCACCCACCAGTACTCCTCACCAAGACATGAACTCACCCACCAGTACTCCTCACCAAGACATGAACTCACCCACCAGTACTCCTCACCATGACATGAACTCACCCGACCAGTACTCCTCACCATGACATGAACACACCCACCAGTACTCCTCACCATGACATGAACACACCCACCAGTACTCCTCACCATGACATGAACTCACCTACCAGTACTCCTCACCATGACATGAACTCACCCGCCAGTACTCCTCACCAAGACATGAACACACCCACCAGTACTCCTCACCATGACATGAACACACCTGCCAGTACTCCTCACCATGACATGAACACACCTACCAGTACTCCTCACCATGACCACCCACCAGTACTCCTCACCATGACATGAACTCACCCACCAGTACTCCTCACCATGACATGAACACACCCACCAGTACTCCTCACCATGACATGAACACACCTGCCAGTACTCCTCACCAAGACATGAACTCACCCGCCAGTACTCCTCACCAAAGCATGAACTCACCCGCCAGTACTCCTCACCAAGACATGAACACACCCGCCAGTACTAATCACCATGACCTGACCTCACCTTCCAGAACTCCACACCATGACCTGACCTCACCTCCAGAACTCCACACCATGACCTGACCTCACCTCCAGAACTCCACACCATGACCTGACCTCACCTTCCAGAACTCCACACCATGACCTGACCTCACCTTCCAGAACTCCACACCATGACCTGACCTCACCTTCCAGATCTACTCACCATGACCTGAAATCACCTTCCAGAACTCCACACCATGACATGAACTCACCTGCCAGAACTCGACACACTTCTCCATGACAGGGTAGGAGGGAAAGAACACCAACAGTCCATTTGGCACTACCCGTGCAAAGTTGACTGAAAAATGCAGAAGATTTCACTAATTACAAGTTCTCACATCAACAATTACTTCTTCTGACAACAAACTCAACTCTCTCTCTGTGACAGCCAATCTCTCAAAACGAGCACCTACTGGAAAACAACACAACACACATAGGGCAGACATTAGAGAAAGGGTACAGTCACTGGCACATTGATAAATAAGCATTGTCACTAAGGTGACATAATCCCCCACCGCAAATTATCAAATCAAACTTAAAGAGTAATGAAAGTGAAGGTCGTAATTTAAGATGAAGTTAAATGTAAACAAAAACATGACTCGCTGACAAGCTTAACATGCAGCTTAACATGCTGAAATCTTAAGAGTGTCGCCATAACGTTGAAAATTAGGTGAAGGTCACCAAAATCGACTGGGCCCTGCGCCTTCCCTAGATAAAGCTTGGTGTTGAATATGAAGAAAATCCAGTGAACAGTTCTTGAGATATCTTGCTGACAAGGGTAAAACGTTACAGTCCCTTTGTGACCTTGAAATGAAGGGCAAGGTCACCAAACCTGACTGGGACCTTTCTTTTACTGTGATGAACCTAGGTACCAAATATGAAAGAATCCAGTCAACGGTTCTTAAGATATTCCAATTTGTACGTAAGTACGGACAGACGGAGCCTAATACTATATCCCCCGCTTCGCGCTAAACGCGCGGCGGGGGATAATAACAAGCAATTGAAAGGACACCAAAGCAGAACACTTAAGGACTTTATTGAAAACAGGGAGGCTGATCTATTTGTGGAAATTGCCTTTGCCCTGCTGTTTGCAGTCTGTTACCAGGAGACAGTGGCACATCATACTCTGAGTGGGGTTCAGCACTTCAGAATATCAGAAAGCAAATATCAACCCTTCTTTTAACTATTATCTGCACGATATTATTGACTAATGAACAGTAAATAGTAACTGTCACACCATCTGTTCACGGGTACAACATTTATAAATCTATATCATGTTTATCAAGTTTAGATCAGGACTAAGAACCACAAATGAAGATCACGTGATGTTTGCTGGTCATTATCTAAGCTAACACCACATGACAGTTGAGTACTGACCTGTGCTTTAACACCGGCTGACTGAGTTTGGTTTAACGCCGCTTTTAGCAATATTCCAGCAATATCACGGTGGGGGGAAACCAGAAATTGGCTTCACACATTGTACCCATGTGGGTATTCAAACCCGGGTCTTCGGCGTGACGAGCCAACGCTTTAACCACTAGGCTACCCCACTGCCCCCTGCGCATTAACAAAAAGGCTTGTGACAGTTTTCTATGAATGCAATGCTATTTCAGACTTCATCAGAAACACACAATACTCAAAGTGGTTATTATTTTTCGCCAATGCTGATGTGAAATAACTAAACAATGAGGATTCCCCCTTTACACAGTAGATCCATAATAAATTGCAAAGGGGAATTACTTCAACCACGACAAGGTTTACCATGTTTACAATACAGCTGACTGTGAAGTGTGAGGAGAAGTCGAAATCTGACATAGTGGTGAGCAGGCCTTTATACTCTTGTACATGTCACGCTATTGATTTTACATTCAATCATATCCACATATTTTTTACCCATACATACATCAATACGCTCCTTATCTGGAGCAATGCTTGTGGCACCGGCATTACTTACATACAGCATTTCCTAGAGAGGTCTGGTAGGAGGCAGTGAACCTGTGGACAGAAGACAAGTGCTAATGCAAACTGGATACTATTCAGCTACAGCTTAGCAAAACGAAGCAAAGGTAACAAAGTAGGATGTTTAATGTGTTTAGTTACTGTGTCAATCAAGGCAGAAGGCCAGCAAGTTAACTTCTCATATGCATACCTGTTGTTGTAGCTGGAATTGAGAATGGAGTTGTCCGGGCCCCGGCTGATAACGCTGATGAACACCTGCTCCTTCTCTATCACATGAGGGTTCTCCAGACAGACATCAAATGGGCTGTAACAGTACATACAATGGGCTGTAACACAGTAGCTAGAACATACAGAGGGCTGTAACACAGTAGCTAGGACATACAGGGGGCTGTAACTCAGTAGCTAGGACATACAGGGGGCTGTAACTATCAACAGGTCCCTGTACAGAACAGTTTACAGTATCAACAGGTCCCTGTACAACAGTTTCAGTATCAACAGGTCTCTGTACAACAGTTACAGTATCAACAGGTCTCTGTACAACAGTTACAGTATCAACAGGTCCCTGTACAACAGTTTCAGTATCAACAGGTCTCTGTACAACAGTTTCAGTATCAACAGGTCTCTGTACAATGCAGTTACAGTATCAACAGGTCCCTGTACAACAGTTTCAGTATCAACAGGTCTCTGTACAGCAGTTTTCAGTATCAACAGGTCTCTGTACAACAGTTACAGTATCAACAGGTCCCTGTACAACATCAACAACAGGTCTCTGTACAGCAGTTTCAGTATCAACAGAGTCCCTGTACAACAGTTACAGTATCAACAGGTCTCTGTACAACAGTTACAGTATCAACAGGTCTCTGTACAACAGTTTCAGTATCAACAGGTCCCTGTACAACAGTTTCAGTATCAACAGGTCCCTGTACAACAGTTTCAGTATCAACAGGTCCCTGTACAACAGTTACAGTATCGACAAGTCCCTGTACAACAGTTTCAGTATCAACAGGTCTCTGTACAACAGTTTCAGTATCAACAGGTCTCTGTACAACAGTTTCAGTATCAACAGGTCCCTGTACAACAGTTACAGTATCAACAGGTCCCTGTACAACAGTTACAGTATCGACAGGTCTCTGTACAACAGTTACAGTATCAACAGGTCCCTGTACAACAGTTTCAGTATCAACAGGTCTCTGTACAACAGTTTCAGTATCAACAGGTCTCTGTACAACAGTTTCAGTATCAACAGGTCTCTGTACAACAGTTTCAGTATCAACAGGTCTCTGTACAACAGTTTCAGTATCAACAGGTCCCTGTACAACAGTTACAGTATCAACAGGTCTCTGTACAACAGTTTCAGTATCAACAGGTCAGTATCAACAGGTCCCTGTACAACAGTTACAGTATCAACAGGTCCCTGTACAACAGTTACAACAGGTCCCTGTACAACAGTTACAGTATCGACAGGTCTCTGTACAACAGTTTCAGTATCAACAGGTCCCTGTACAACAGTTACAGTATCAACAGGTCTCTGTACAACAGTTTCAGTATCAACAGGTCTCTGTACAACAGTTTCAGTATCAACAGGTCTCTGTACAACAGTTTCAGTATCAACAGGTCTCTGTACAACAGTTTCAGTATCGACAGGTCCCTGTACAACAGTTTCATCAAGAGAAGTCAAAAGTCCCTATGGGTCAGTTAAAGGTCAATCGAGTTTTGGTCATTCAGGTAAAATTCCAGGGACTTAAGAGACATGAAGACAATAGGCATGTATAAACCAGTATGCATGTAATTGAAAACGAAACAAACTCAATCACAAGACATAGCGCTTTTTCTAGGATGTTTTCCACCCTTAATACATCTTCTGAGATAGGGCCGCCTATATTCAACAGACTCCAACAGCTCTTATATTTCTTTGACAAAGAGACCGCCTCCGTGGTGTAGTGGTTAGTAGTGTTGGGAATTGGTTAAAATCTCATAATTGATGATTGGTTCAATATAATCGATCAATCATCGAAAATAATTGGTTGGCGTTTTTTATCAAATTTTCTTGGTTATGTTTGTTAATGCACAAGAAAAAGCTAAAGAAAAACAAGTTGTTCTTTTCGAGTTTTTGCAAATTGCACAAAATGCATTTACAAATATGACTAGTATGTCAGGAACATAAATTCCTGGAATCTTAAGATAAATTCAATCCTGACTTGGAACGAAGCTTGTAGTGCTTATGAAATGTAACAGAAAAAACAACCTTTGTGAAAAAATATTGTTACAGCAAAAGTGTTCCAAAATTGTTTGTGTTCGATTATTAGAGAACAAGATCAATTGCTTGGTCGCTTAGTCATTACGCACCAATCTTCGATTATTTCAATTAATCGGACCACCACTAGTGGTTAGAGCATCCACCCAGAGAGGAAGATCGCAGGGGTTCAATCCCCGACCGCGTCATACCAAAAGGCGGCAAAATATGGGTACTTGTTGGCCCCTGCCTGGCGCTCGGCATTAAGGGGTACAACAAGGACTGGTCAGCTCGGAGTCAGTATAATGTGTCTGAGTGGGGTATTCATGCTTCACTGCGGCATGGTATCTCAGTTGGCTAGCACTATAAAACCAGCTTAAGTCTGGGCTAGTACACGCAGTCGCACATACACATACACACGCATGCACGTCGTCATATGAGCGAAATATTCTCAAGCACGATGTTAAACCCAATTTCACCTCACCTCACCTTTGACAAGGAAAGTATTCATACATGGTGAACAATGAAGTCAAAACCTGGGCCCTGGATGCAAATTATTTAAATATTGTTTTCTATTGTTCCGTGTCTGCACAGTCCCTGTCCATGCTGTATCGCCTTCCAGATTGACCATCGCTTCAACCTTTCTTAGCACCATCACCCAACACTGCATTAAACTGTTTCACAGAGGTGCAGTGACCAACAAGAACTAAGGTTATTACCATCATTGTTGAGATAGGCCACAACCTTCTCCAGGACATCCAACAGGTAACTTCTGGTTTCAAATGTGATGTTCACCTGGGCTAGCAGCTCAAACATGAACCTGTAACATGAGAACACACCTGATGTAACAAGGACACGACTGTAACATGTAGAACACACCTGACATAACAAGGACACAACAGCAATAATTATATATATGACACAACTGCAGAATTAGGACACAACTACTTGTTTGTTGTTGAATGCAAACTTAGCTATTTGACAACCCAGTGATTGACATCATGAGCACCAAGCTAGGCAGTAGGGATATTAATGACATGCTGTAACTAAGTAAGCGAGCTTTGACCAAATCAATCCTGTCAAACATAGTGTGCTGGGAAAATGCAGAAACACAACTGTAATATAAAGGACACAACTGCTGAAATATGACAAGAACACAACTGCTTTCGAAATATGTAGGCCACAACTGCTGAAATATGTAGAACACAACTGTATCATCAAAGGACACAACTGCTGAAATATGTAGAACACAACTGTTAATATAGGACAATAACAGTTGAAAGGACTAGAGTAATAACTGTTAAAATATGTAGAACACAACTGCTGAAATATGCTAGGAACACAACTGTTACATGTAGGGACACGAACTGCTGAAATATGTAGAAATCACAACTGTTTTACATGTAGGGACACAACTGCTGGAAATATGTAGAACACAACTGTTACATATAGGACAATAAACTGCTGAAATATGTAGAACACAACTATTACATGTAGGACACAACTGCTGAAATATGTAGAACACAACTGTTACATGTAGGACACAACTGCTGAAATATGTAGAACACAACTGTTACATGTAGGACAATAAACTGCTGCAGGAAAGTGTCAGAACACAAACATAGCACCACTGCTGAAATATGTAGAAAACGGCTGTTTGCATGTAAGTGACACAACTGTTACATGTAGACACCCAACTGCTGAAATATGTAGAACACAACTGTTACAAATAGGACACAACTGCTGAAATATGTAGAACACAACTGTTACATCGTAATACTCATTATAATAGGTAATACACAACAGCTATAACATGTGGATTGTCACTTTCTTAACATAAGGTTGAGCGTGTTCACTGTAGTGCAAAGAACCAAACCAATATGCTCACTGTACAACAGTTTCAGTATCAACAGGTCCCTGTACAACAGTTACGAGTATCAACAGGTCCCTGTACAACAGTTTCGTATCGGTCTCGGTCCCTGTACAACAGTTTCAGTATCAACAGGTCTCTGTACAACAGTTTCAGTATCAACACAGGTCCCTGTACAACAGTTTCAGTATCAACAGGTCCCTGTACAACAGTTTCAGTATCAACAGGTCTCTGTACAACAGTTACAGTATCGACAGGTCTCTGTACAACAGTTACAGTATCAACAGGTCTCTGTACAACAGTTTCAGTATCAACAGGTCTCTGTACAACAGTTTCAGTATCAACAGGTCTGTGCGCTCTGAAACAACAGTTACAATAGTCAACCAGGTCTCTGTACAACAGTTTCAGTATCAACAGGTCCCTGTACAACAGTTTCAGTATCAACAGGTCCCTGTACAACAGTTTCAGTATCAACAGGTCTCTGTACAACAGTTTCAGTATCAACAGGTCTCTGTACAACAGTTTCAGTATCAACAGGTCTCTGTACAACAGTTACAGTATCAACAGGTCCCTGTACAACAGTTTCAGTATCAACAGGTCTCTGTACAATAGTTACAGTATCGACAAGTCCCTGTACAACAGTTACAGTATCAACAGGTCCCTGTACAACAGTTTCAGTATCGACAGGTCCCTGTACAACAGTTTCAGTATCAACAGGTCTCTGTACAACAGTTTCAGTATCAACAGGTCCCTGTACAACAGTTTCAGTATCAACAGGTCCCTGTACAACAGTTTCAGTATCAACAGGTCTCTGTACAACAGTTACAGTATCAACAGGTCCCTCCTGTAACAACAGTTTCAGTATCAACAGGTCTCTGTACAACAGTTTTCAGTATCAACGGGTCTCTGTACAACAGTTACAGTATCAACAGGTCTCTGTACAACAGTTTCAGTATCAACAGGTCCTCCTGTACAACAGTTACAGTATCAACAGGTCCCTGTACAACAGTTTCGAGTATCAACAGGTCTCTGTACAGTCAGTTTCAGTTTCGTTTCCCAGTATCAACAGGTCCCTGTACAACAGTTTCAGTATCAACAGGTCCCTGTACAACCAGGTAACGGTTTCAGTATCAACAGGTCCCTGTACAACAGTTTCAGTATCAACAGGTCTCTGTACAACAGTTTCAGTATCAACAGGTCTCTGTACAACAGTTTCAGTATCAACAGGTCTCTGTACAACAGTTTCAGTATCGACAAGTCCCTGTACAACAGTTTCATCAAGAGAAGTCAAAAGTCCCTATGGGTCAGTTAAAGGTCAATCGAGTTTTGGTCATTCAGGTAAAATTCCAGGGACTTAAGAGACATGAAGACAATAGGCATGTATAAACCAGTATGCATGTAATTGAAAACGAAACAAACTCAATCACAAGACATAGCGCTTTTTCTAGGATGTTTTCCACCCTTAATACATCTTCTGAGATAGGGCCACCTATATTCAACAGACTCCAACAGCTCTTATATTTCTTTGACAAAGAGACCGCCTCCGTGGTGTAGTGGTTAGTAGTGTTGGGAATTGGTTAAAATCTCATAATTGATGATTGGTTCAATATAATCGATCAATCATCGAAAATAATTGGTTGGCGTTTTTTATCAAATTTTCTTGGTTATGTTTGTTAATGCACAAGAAATAAAGAAAAAACAAGTAGTTCTTTCGAGTTTTTTGCAAATTGCACAAAATGCATTTGCAAATATGACTAGTATGTCAGGAACATAAATTCCTGGAATCTTAAGATAAATTCAATCCTGACTTGGAACGAGCTTGTAGTGCTTATGAAATGTAACAGAAAAAACAATTTGTGAAAAATATTGTTACAGCAAAAAAGTGTTCCAAAATTGTTTGTGTTCGATTATTAGAGAACAAGATCGATTGCTTGGTCGTTTAGTCATTGCGACCAATCTTCGATTATTTCAATTAATCGGACCACCACTAGTGGTTAGAGCATCCACCCAGAGAGAGGAAGGTCGCGGGTTCGATCCCCGACCGCGTCATACCAAAAGACGTTAAAATATGGTACTTGTTGGCCCCTGCCTGGCGCTCGGCATTAAGGGGTACAACAAGGACTGGTCAGCTCGGAGTCAGTATAATGTGTCTGAGTGGGGTATTCATGCTTCACTGCGGCATGGTATCTCAGTTGGCTAGCACTATAAAACCAGCTTAAGTCTGGGCTAGTACACGCAGTCGCACATACACATACACACGCATGCACGTCGTCATATGAGCGAAATATTCTCAAGCACGATGTTAAACCCAATTTCACCTCACCTCACCTTTGACAAGGAAAGTATTCATACATGGTGAACAATGAAGTCAAAACCTGGGCCCTGGATGCAAATTATTTAAATATTGTTTTCTATTGTTCCGTGTCTGCACAGTCCCTGTCCATGCTGTATCGCCTTCCAGATTGACCATCGCTTCAACCTTTCTTAGCACCATCACCCAACACTGCATTAAACTGTTTCACAGAGGTGCAGTGACCAACAAGAACTAAGGTTATTACCATCATTGTTGAGATAGGCCACAACCTTCTCCAGGACATCCAACAGGTAACTTCTGGTTTCAAATGTGATGTTCACCTGGGCTAGCAGCTCAAACATGAACCTGTAACATGAGAACACACCTGATGTAACAAGGACACGACTGTAACATGTAGAACACACCTGACATAACAAGGACACAACAGCAATAATTATATATATGACACAACTGCAGAATTAGGACACAACTACTTGTTTGTTGTTGAATGCAAACTTAGCTATTTGACAACCCAGTGATTGACATCATGAGCACCAAGCTAGGCAGTAGGGATACAATGACATGCTGCAACTAAGTAAGCAGGCTTGACCACCCAATCCTGTCAAACATAGTGTGCTGGGAAAATGCAGAAACACAACTGTAATATAAAGGACACAACTGCTGAAATATGTAGAACACAACTGCTGAAATATGTAGGACACAACTGCTGAAATATGTAGAACACAACTGTAATATAAAGGACACAACTGCTGAAATATGTAGAACACAACTGTTACATGTAGGACACAACTGCTGAAATATGTAGAACACAACTGTTACATGTAGGACACAACTGCTGAAATATGTAGAACACAACTGTTACACGAACATATGTAAATATGAGACACAACTGTTACATGTAGGACACAACTGCTGAAATATGTAGAACACAACTGTTACATGTAGGACACAACTGCTGAAATATGTAGAACACAACTGTTACATGTAGGACACAACTGCTGAAATATGTAGAACACAACTATTACATGTAGGACACAACTGCTGAAATATGTAGAACACAACTGTTACATGTAGGACACAACTGCTGAAATATGTAGAACACAACTGTTACATGTAGGACACAACTGCTGAAATATGTAGAACACAACTGCTGAAATATGTAGAACACAACTGTTACATGTAGGACACAACTGTTACATGTAGGACACAACTGCTGAAATATGTAGAACACAACTGTTACAAATAGGACACAACTGCTGAAATATGTAGAACACAACTGTTACACGTAATACTATTATAATAGGTAATACACAACAGCTATAACATGTGGATTGTCACCTGTAACATAAGGTTGAACGTGTTCACTGTGGTACAAAACCAAACCAATATGCTCACTGTGACACAATTTGTGATAACCTTGACCTACATGCCTGGCTTGGTGAGACCTTGACCTCCACCTGGAATATGGATCTCATCTATTCTCTCCTCCAGTTGTCGTAGAGTTTCTGAAAAATAAAAGGTGCAAGTGTTTTGCAAAAAGTCACAATACATATGTCAAAAAGTCATAAATTATAATTGTCTTTGAACTAACATGATTCTCTTCAATTAACACTAAGGGTTCTTTCTTACATAATGCAAAAATATATAGCCAATAGACTTTCTTGACATGAATTTCTCATTTGAAAAGTCATACAGGTATAAGAAAAGGAAAAAACAGAACCTTCCAAGGATACATGCAGTAATGGCTGAGAAAGGTGAGGTGAGGTGAAATTGGGTTTAACGTCATTATTGAGAATATTTCGCTCATATGACGACGTGCATGCGTGTGTATGTGTATGTGTGGCTGCTTGTACTAGCCCAGACTTAAGCTGGTTTTATAGTGCTAGCCCACTGAGATACCATGCCGCAGTTAAGCATGAATGCCCCACTCAGACACATTATACTGACTCCGAGCCGACCAGTCCTTGTTGTACCCATTAATGCCGAGCGCCAGGCAGGGACCAACAAGTACCATATTTTAACGTCTTTTGGTATGACGCTGTTGGGGATCGAACCCGCGACCTACCGCTCTTCGGGCGGACGGCTCTAACCGGCTGAGCAAAGGACAAACAAGACATTTTAAAAAGGCTGTGAGGTTTCAGTGACAACAACCCACAACATAAACTTACTTGACAAGTATATACAAATTAAGTTATTTAAATCTTGTTACCCAAAGTTTAACACTGACCTTTCAGTTTCAAGACATCATCAAGATCAAAATCTGGTTCAACTGAAAGAGAAAACAAGTTTATTAGATCACAAAAAGATTGACCCTGGCAGCGGACACTCAAAACTTATACTGATAGGCAAAAGAAATGTTGTAAAATTGCTGACTACCTGCCAGTCAATAGACCTACCTGCAACTGACTACCTGCCAGTCAATAGACCTACCTGCAACTGACTACCTGCCAGTCAATAGACCTACCTGCAACTGACTACCTGCCAGTCAATAGACCTACCTGCAGCTGACTACCTGCCAGTCAATAGACCTACCTGCAACTGACTACCTGCCAGTCAATGAGAATAGACCTACCTGCAACTGACTACCTGCCAGCTACCTGCAACTGACACCTGCTCAATAGACCTACCTGCCTGCCCTGCCAGTCAATAGACCTACCTGCAACTGACTACCTGCCAGTCAATAGAACCTGCAGTCAATAGACTGACTACCTGCCAGCTACCTGCACTACCTGCCAGTCAATAGACTGACTACCTGCCAGTCAATAGAGCCTACCTGCACCTGACTACCTGCCAGTCAATAGACCTACCTGCAACTGACTACCTACCTGCAACTGCCAATAGACCTACCTGCAACTGACTACCTGCCAGTCAATAGAATCTACCTGCAACTGACTACCTGCCAGTCAATAGATCTACCTGCAGCTGACTACCTGCCAGTCAATAGACCTACCTGCAACTGACTACCTGCCAGTCAATAGACCTGCAACTGACTACCTGCCAGTCACCTGCAACTGACTACCTGCCAGTCAATAGATCTACCTGCAACTGACTACCTGCCAGTCAATAGACCTACCTGCAACTGACTACCTGCCAGTCAATAGACCTACCTGCAACTGACTACCTGCCAGTCAATAGATCTACCTGCAACTGACTACCTGCCAGTCAATAGACCTACCTGCAGCTGACTACCTGCCAGTCAATAGACCTACCTGCAACTGACTACCTGCCAATCACTTGATCCACTTGCAGCTGACTACCTGCCAGTCAATAGACCTACCTGCAACTGACTACCTGCCAGTCACTAGACCTACCTGCAGCTGACTACCTGCCAGTCAATAGCACCTGCAGCTGACTACCTGCCAGTCAATAGACCTACCTGCAGCTGACTACCTGCCAGTCAATAGAACTACCTGCAACTGACTACCTGCCAGTCAATAGACTGACCACCTGCAACTGACTACCTGCCAGTCAATAGAACTACCTGCAACTGACTACCTGCCAATCAATGATCCTACCTGCAGCTGACCCTGCAGCAATGACTACCTGCCACTACCTGCCAGTCAATAGACCTACCTGCAACTGACTACCTGCCAGTCAATAGACCTACCTGCAGCTGACTACCTGCCAGTCAATAGACCTACCTGCAGCTGACTACCTGCCAGTCAATAGACCCACCTGCAGCTGACTACCTGCCAGTCAATAGACCTACCTGCAACTGACTACCTGCCAGTCAATAGACCTACCTGCAGCTGACTACCTGCCAGTCAATAGACCTACCTGCAGCTGACTACCTGCCAGTCAATAGACCTACCTGCAACTGACTACCTGCCAGTCAATAGACCTACCTGCAACTGACTACCTGCAGCACTACCTGCCAGTCAATACCCAGTGCCAGTCAATAGACCTACCTGCAACTGACTACCTGCCAATGCCAGATCCACTTGCAGCTGACTACACTAGACCCTGCAGCTGACTACCTGCCAGTCAATAGACCTACCTGCAACTGACTACCTGCCAATCACTTGATCCACTTGCAGCTGACTACCTGCCAGTCCTACCTGCAGACTACCAGTCAATACCCGCCTACCTGCAACTGACTACCTGCCAGTCAATAGCTGACCTGCAACTGACTACCTGCCAATCAATAGATCCACTTGCAGCTGACTACCTGCCAGTCAATAGACCTACCTGCAACTGAGCTTACTTACCCGCCAGTAACTGACTACTGCCAGTCAATAGACCTACCTGCAACTGACTACCTGCCAATCACTTGATCCACTTGCAGCTGACTACCTGCCAGTCAATAGACCTACCTGCAACTGACTACCTGCCAGTCAATAGACCTACCTGCAACTGACCACCTGCCAATCACTTAATAGATCCACTGACTGCCAGTCAATAGACTCACCCAGTCAATAGACCTACCTGCAGCTGACTACCTGCCAGTCAATAGACCTACCTGCAACTGCCTCTCCCAGCTCCGACACCTGACTCTCACTCTGGCTTAGCTCCACAACCTTCTCCATGAGCCTTGTGGTCTCTTCCATGGCTGTGGCAATGTCCACTGAACTTAGATCAAAGGATGCACTCTCTTCACATATTCTTTCCTGCAGAAGAGGACAATGACATAGACATCAGATGTATATGTCACTTGAACTGTCAAACTGCAGTATTCAGTCAACAAAAAGTTTATATTATTAGTAAAACATAAAATTAATAAATGTTGGTAAAAGTGCTTAAAGAATTGCAAAAATGTGTGACCACACAATATGGATGCTTAGTCCAACAGTAGAACCCCTTGGAGATTAACACCTACTAAGATGCTGATGATCAGCATAAAGTCACCAGCAAATGACAGTACAATCTTCCACATAGTAATAGAGATGTTCTCAGTTCACATTTTGTTAGCTACAGAACCAGAAAGACTGTGGAGTAGCATCCTTTGGTGGTGTCCGAGTGTTCCAATGCATGGATCACTTACTGGACTAGTAGAGTCTGTATTGTTGAAGTCAACAAGAAGACAAAGTCATCAATATCCCGCGATGGCAAAATACTCTTCACGAACATGTCATCTGGATATGACTATATCAAATGTTTTGGCATGTATATAGCAAAGTGGAAGGAGAGTACTGAAAGGTTGGCATGTTCTGGTCCAGAAAGGAGCACAAGCACCAATTTCAGACGAAGTCAAATTTATTGCCATGGAAACACACACAAAAAAATATTTCATTCGGAAATCCAAAACTGTTAAAAAGACCAGTTCAGCACCAGACCTATCTATGTGCCAAGTTTGGTGAAGAAATATTGAACGGTTTTAAAGTTCTGCTCCGGAAAAGAGCACTACCACCAATTTCAGTCGAAGTCAAACTTGTTGCCATGGAAATGCAAAAAATATCTTATTCAGAAATCCTAAACTACCAAAAGGCACCAGTACACCTCAAGACCTATGTTCCAAATGTGGTGAAGAAATATAGAACCTTTTTTATGTTCTGCTCCGGAAAAACGAATGTGCACGGACGAACAGAGTCAATTTTTATACCCCTGCAAAACACGTTGCTGGGGATAATCCACTGTGCTCTCAGGAGATTAAAAACAGTGTAAAGACTGCTGGGTGTTAATATAAGTTGTAAGTTCAGAAGTAACCTGTGATGTCACGCTTCCAATTGTCGATGACCTTCCACTGGTCCTGGCACTAGCATCAGTTTCTTCAGGATTGATAATCTGGTTTTGACTGACTGACTGAGTTTGATTTTACGCCGTTTTTAGCAATATTCCAGCAACATCACGGCGGGGGACACCAGAAATGGGCTTCACACATTGTACCCATGTGGGGATTCTAACCCGGGTCTTCGGCGTGACGAGCCAATGCTTTAACCACTAGGCTACCCCACCGCCCCTAATCTGGTTTTGAGATCCAAAGATAAGTGAGTGAGTAAATGTGGCTTTAAGCCGCATCAGCAAGTAGGACTGAGAGGAGTAAAGCAAGCCTGTTTGGGAGCAGCTATTGTCAGAGTCTCTTGCCCTTAACATGGGTTTGCTTCTGCCGCCATGCCATTGGAGTTCACTGGTATCTTGTGTTTGTGAGGAAAAGTTTGCAATGACTGGTCCTTGCACATTTCTAACATGAAAGAATCTTGTAGTGATAATGTCTTCTTTTAGGAGCTTTCCTCTAATCCCGGCTTTTCTCGAAGGTTCGCTTGAGAGCATTAGACTGGACGTCCCAAGTCCTACAGGCTGACGACTGAATTCGGCTTGTGATTAAATATGGACATCTCTGAAAGACCACAACTTGGGAGGTGAATGAAACTTGGTCAGCAAGCAACTCTCCCAGCATCTTGAGGATGCTTTCTAAAACACTGAACAAATGCTCTTAATCAGTCTCAAGTTCCATGGACTATTACCGATGTTCTTCATGAATGGCAGGTTCTTCACAAGCCAGATTCCTGCAGTAAAACCAGTTAGTGTATGCTCCAACATACATTATGTGTCATTTCCTAGAATCCATCTCCTTGATTCTGTTCAGGTAGACATTCATCTTATGGGTGAGTCTTCAACAACTTGTTTTAGGCTACTTACTGCATCAGCCTTAGAGAGACATTTGTCTGCTGAAGAGTCGTGACAGAAGAAAAGTATGGGAGCTATGAAATGTCTCCTCCAGTGGTTCAGGCTCTGTGAATTGGAGCTGGTTGAATGCAAACAGGTGGGCTGAGCTTATCAAATACAGACGATGCATCCTCAAAACTCACAAGCTTAGATTCAGTAGAATCATAATCTCAAGTGTCCTTATAGGAAGCATGTGAATAGATAACAGCTGATGATCTCGTCAAGGGAGACCTGACCCTGCATGTCAGCTTGTGGCATGTGGTGTTCTGTTTGGTGGTACTACTGGTCTCATGGTGTGACCTCCTTCACGTCTGGGGAATGTGGAGCAGAATGAAACAATTGCTAAAGGCTGTTTCTTCCCCCAAAACTGCTGCAAGGGAGGTAACAGTACTACATACTACTGTCCACACTACATGTTCTGAAAGTTCCTGTGACTACGGCTTGACGAGAATCAGAACTGCATTCCCTATCCTTAGGCTCCCATGCATTTTGAAAAACTTAAGAATATGGTTAGAGACACATGGTTAAAACATAGGCAAAAACTTGCAATACTGCATTGACTTCTGTATACCAATACCCATTATATTCTAGAAATATATACCTGAGTTACGGTACTAAACAGATCGTCCACATGGAAACTGGATAAGTACCTCTTGAATATCAGTTGACATTTCTGGGAACAAGCATGCAAAGTTTCAGTATCAAAGGTCCTGTGGGTTCCAAAGGGAAATGCTGATAGATGCCAGACAAATAGTATATGGCAATGGTTTAGATATTTATAAACTTACCAAATTGTGTGCTTCATCGAAGATGATTATGTTGCCTTGTAGTTCCACTCCATGAGCTCTCCTGGACTAAAGACAAACAAGACAATTGTCAACACACACTTTGTTCTGGACTTAAGACAAACAAGACAATTGTCAACACAGACTTTCTCCTGGACTAAAGAAAAACAAGACAATTGTCAACACACACTTTCTCCTGGACTAAAGACAAACAAGACAATTGTCAACACAGACTTTCTCCTGGACTAAAGACAAACAAGACAATTGTCAACACAGACTTTCTCCTGGACTAAAGACAAACAAGACAATTGTCTGTACACACTTTCTCCTGGACTAAAGACAAACAAGACAATTGTCTGTACACACTTTCTCCTGGACTAAAGACAAACAAGACAATTGTCTGTACACACTTTCTCCTGGACTAAAGACAAACAAGACAATTGTCTGTACACACTTTCTCCTGGACTAAAGACAAACAAGACAATTGTCAACACAGACTTTCTCCTGGACTAAAGACAAACAAGACAATTGTCAACACACTTTCTCCTGGACTAAAGACAAACGAGACAATTGTCAACACAGACTTTCTCCTGGATTAAAGACAAACAAGACAATTGTCAACACACACTTTCTCCTGGACTAAAGACAAACGAGACAATTGTCAACACACACTTTCTCCTGGATTAAAGACAAACAAGACAACTGTCAACACAGACTTTCTCCTGGACTAAATACACGCAGCACAACTATCAGTACACACTTTCTCCTGGACTAAATACACACAGCACAACTATCAGTACACACTTTCTCCTGGACTAAATACACGCAGCACAACTATCAGTACACACTTTCTCCTGGACTAAATACACGCAGCACAACTATCAGTACACACTTTCTCCTGGACTAAATACACGCAGCACAACTATCAGTACACAACTATCAGTACACACACACTTTCTCCTGGACTAAATACATGCAGCACAACTATCAGTACACACTTTGCCCTGGACTAAATACACAACTATCAGCACAACTAAATACACACAGCACAACTATCAGTACACTTTCTCCTGGACTAAATACACGCAGCACAACTATCAGTACACACTTTCTCCTGGACTAAATACCAGCAGCACAACTATCAGTACACACTTTCTCCTGGACTAAACACACGCAGCACAACTATCAGTACACACTTTCTCCTGGACTAAATACACAGCAGCACAACTATCAGTACACACTTTCTCCTGGACTACAACAACTACACAGCACAACTATCAGTACACACTTTCTCCTGGACTAAATACACGCAGCACAACTATCAGTACACACTTTCTCCTGGACTAAATACACACAGCACAACTATCAGTACACACTTTCTCCTGGACTAAATACACGCAGCACAACTATCAGTACACACTTTCTCCTGGACTAAATACACACAGCACAACTATCAGTACACACTTTCTCCTGGACTAAATACACACAGCACAACTATCAGTACACACTTTCTCCTGGACTAAATACACACAGCACAACTATCAGTACACACTTTCTCCTGGACTAAATACACACAGCACAACTATCAGTACACACTTTCTCCTGGACTAAATACACGCAGCACAACTATCAGTACACACTTTCTCCTGGACTAAATACACACAGCACAACTATCAGTACACACTTTCTCCTGGACTAAATACACACGCAGCACAACTATCAGAACACACTTTCTCCTGGACTAAATACACACAGCACAACTATCAGTACACACTTTCTCCTGGACTAAATACCAATACAACTATCAGTACACACTTTCTCCTGGACTAAATACACGCAGCACAACTATCAGTACACACTTTCTCCTGGACTAAATACACACAGCACAACTATCAGTACACACTTTCTCCTGGACTAAATACACGCAGCACAACTATCAGTACACACTTTCTCCTGGACTAACTATAACTATCACAGCTTTCTCACAACTATCAGTACACACTTTCTCCTGGACTAAATACATGCAGCACAACTATCAGTACACACTTTCTCCTGGACTAAATACACGCAGCACAACTATCAGTACACACTTTCTCCTGAACTACATACACGCAGCACAACTATCAGTACACACTTTCTTCTGTACTAAATACACGCAGCACAACTATCAGTACACACTTTGTCCTGGACTAAATACACACAGCACAACTATCAGTACACACTTTCTCCTGGACTAACTACACGCAGCACAACTATCAACACACACTTTCTCCTGGACTAAATACACGCAGCACAACTATCAACACACTTTCTCCTGGACTAACTACACGCAGCACAACTATCAGTACACACTTTCTCCTGGACTAAATACACGCAGCACAACTATCAATACACACATTTTCCAGGACTTAGGACAGAAAAGACAAATGTCATCTGCTTGTTGTACAATCAATTCCATCACAACTTTCAGGAAGATAAGCAATAAACTTCAAGGCTTACTTTCGGATCCAGCAGATAGTTGTAGGGCATGAAGATGATGTCAGCATCTGACTTCAACTCTCTGGCCATGTAATATGGACACAATCTGAAAATACAGAACAGGGGGGTCAGCTAATGTTCGTATTTCAAGTAGTATTTGGGGCAAGTTTGAAATCTGGCACTCCAATCCAATCTGCACCACAATGACCAGTGTAAACTGTCTGTCTGTCTGTAAACTGCGCTGCACCAGTCTGAACTCAAAACTTGCAATGTTAGCTTCCAGAACCATTTTCTTCACAGTTTACCTGCAGATTTGACTGCATTTAAGATGACTTTACACCTCATGCTGCAAATTAAAACTCAGCTTTGGATGTGTATCTCCTTAGTTAAAACAGCCAGGGTGCTGGCAAACACTGGACTGATAAAACATAGTACACAACAACCATCTTCAGATGTAGCCAATTCTTGCTGGGTTCTCTCTGTAGTGAAGAGTTGCATCGAATTCATTTATCAAAACATTGGGAGTGAGCAATTTCCCAATCATGACCCCATCTCCATCATCTACAAATGTCATCTGCAAGCAACAGTAACATACACCACACACACATAGATACTATCTTGCCTCACACATAAACGTCGTTTTCTGATTGGCTGAGCGCTCTTCTATTTTTTTCAATGTACCCCGCTTACAAGCGAGTAACATTTTCTATGTACCCCGCTGGGAATGCCGAACTCATTTGGTACTTGTAGTAGTAATGCTTTATCTCGAATAACATTGAATCACTTATGATGTATGGGAATTACTGATGTTTCGCGAATGTAAATTGATGGAAGGGAGATAACTCTAAATTTGTTTTTCTTGTCGTCTTGTTGTCTGGTACTCTATACTATGATCCGAGACCCGTGATTCAAACTTACCATTGAGGTGTTTGGTAAGATAAATACTTTGTTCACTGGTCTCGAGGGGGACATGGGCTGATGTACCCTCGATGTTTGTTATGTTCATGCCCTTCACATGAGGGGACAGTCCATGGTAATTACTTGATTATCTATGTACTTCCATTTTCTCCCTGTGAGCCAGATGTCTCCATCCAAGTGTCAGCCCGATAAGTCACAATGCAAAATAAGACCAATTGACAACAAGCAACACGTTTGAAGCAAGGTGTGCTTTCAATTAGATGTTCCATCGCAAAACTTAGGTTTCAAAAGAACACAGATATATCTAAGGATATTTTTTACATAAACCTGCAATTACAACTAGCCAAAACAGAGGCTGGTCCGAGGCTTGACAATGGCCCTACGACAATAACACTACAGTATTTCTGACATTGTCGCTTTACAGCTGAGCCCTGTTTAGCTAAGTTAACTTCCCCTTCTTCCCTCCATGAGTAGAGGACATAACATGTATGCAAAACAGATGGCCCATCATGTGCATGTACAAGTGACTACCTGAGAGTAGTCACCCATACACCTGACTACCCGAGAGTAGTCACCCATACACCTGACTACCCGAGAGTAGTCACCCATACACCAGACTACCCGAGAGTAGTCACCCATACACCCGAGAGTAGTCACCCATACACCTGACTATCCGAGAGAAGTCACCTATACGCCTGACTACCTGAGAGTAGTCACCTATACACCTGACTACCCGAGAGTAGTCACCTATACACCTGACTACCCGAGAGTAGTCACCCATACACCTGACTACCCGAGGTAGTCACCCATACACCTGACTACACCTGACTATCCGAGAGAAGTCACCTATACGCCTGACTACCTGAGAGTAGTCACCTATACACCTGACTACCCGAGAGTAGTCACCTATACACCTGACTACCCGAGAGTAGTCACCCATACACCTGACTACCCGAGAGTAGTCACCCATACACCTGACTACCCGAGAGAAGTCACCCATATACCTGACTACCCGAGAGAAGTCACCTATACACCTGACTACCCGAGAGTAGTCACCTATACACCTGACTACCCGAGAGTAGTCACCCATACACCTGACTACCCAACCTTGGACAACCATATGGCTGAGGAAGCTGTTTCAGTATTTCTAACACTGACTAGGTATTTTGACTTTGGTCACAGTCCTCATAGTGATGAATTGATACATACAAATGAGGTGTGTGCTCACTTGTTTTTCTTTCCCTTGGATACCAAGTCTTCAATGTCCACAACAGAGCCCAAAATCTGACGTGTTTCACTGTTTTTTTTCATATCTGAAAAAAAAAGGCAGACAGTTGACACTTCCAAAGACTTGTCTGTCTTCCGCTCTCACTGTCTTCTCTTACTTGATTTTTACATTCTTAACCAAAGCTGACGAGGAGTTTCTTATTTTTTACTTAAAGATCACATATACTCTAGGGGGTACAAATACATAAATCACTAACTGGCATCGCTATAAATGAAACCCTGTCATTAAAACTACTCACTTCGGTCTTTAATTAACTTAAATCGACCTTTTTGACAACAGTGCACAATTCTCACCCGCAAACGAAATTTCAACCAATCAGAGCGGGGCGTCTCTGTGACATCATATGAGGAATAGATATGAGGGCCGATGCAGAATTCATCTACATTTCAGGGGGTAAATTATCTTGTTTACAGGTTTGTATGAACCTGAAATCGTGACAACTGTTGTGGAAAATGAAAGTTATATGTTCTCACAATCTACTGTCATTTAATTTTGTCTCCTGCTTTGCCTAGTTCCCGAGTTACAACTTGTTTTCATAGACGCTTCTGTCAAAATCGCTTGGTGTTGTTAGGCCTTATTTGTATAATGAATGATCCAAATTGATCCCATTACTGTGTTTATTTACCTCGATATTTAATCATGTCATGTAAAAATCTGTTTGTATTCTCAAAACAGTGTCGGCCCATAAGTTTTCACATGCAATACAGTAATTAATACTCCCTTGTTGTAACCCGTGTTAGGTGGTATAAACCTACACATGTTATTTGTCATCATTCACTTGATGGTCAGTTAATGAATTTATAACAGGTATAATTAGTGGTAACACACTTAGATTACCCAACAAAGGATCCCATTTGGCATTTCTTGTGTCTGGAGTAAATATTCAACATTATAAACATCGATCAAAGGATTAACCGATAACACGTTGATTGACTAATTACTTTTATCTTACACAGCGGATTTGTCAAAAGGTAGTGTTTATGTATGTAGATTTACTAATCTATACTGAATACACTCTGTCGTGTCGGTGTCTGCGTAAAAACAACGTCCTTCTTTCAAAGGATTAACCGGCAATACATTGATTGCTTGCCCATTATTGGCTAACTAAATTACTGTTTTTAAAGAAAGGCGGACATTATGCAATTAGTTGCCAGGTGTGCTATCTTGGGCGACCAATGAGACTATACACCAATGTGAAATACCTGAAAAGGTTTATCACTTTTTCGTATATTAAACTGTTAAAAGACACATCACTTGGAACAGCTGCAGATGAATGGCATATCACTCGTTTTTGTGGATATTGATGGATACATTCCTCGAACACAGTAATAGCCTGACATTGTACCTATAACTTTAATCTGTTTTAATTTTAACATATTTGCATTTTGTTTTTATTCATTTGTCGTAGCATTCAACAGAATCACTGTTTTCGCCGTGAAGTGTAATGAGACAGACAGCATACACTAGGGTGTGTGTGCGAATTATGATTCACATTGGCAAACTATAAAATATGTAGATATTACAGTTCTGTCATAAATTCACTATAAGTATCAGCAGATCGTCTGCTTTTTATTAAGTTTCAAAATGCATACAACTATGATAACAAACTAATTAGGATCATAAGACCAAACATATAGACGTACATTGACTAGTATCTACATACTTGTGAGTGGACGTTAACCATGTGAATGTAGCAAGACATTTATCGCGCAGTATTGTGACTTCGACCCCCACCTCGCTTCCGTGCAAGAAATCGTTATGTTATAAGTTGTGTCATGCAAAATCCTTTTCGTTATGACAGTGTAGGAAAGATGTAGAAAATCTAGCCTGTCCACAGGACTGGCAGGTCAATTTTTTTACCAGTCCTGCCAAAATCTAGCCTGTCCTCCAAATATAAATAAAACACCTTCGGCAGTAAATATTCAAAAAGGTTATAATCATTATATATTTGTCATTGGTTTGCTAAAATTGACCCGACATGAGGACGGACTAGATATTTTTTTAACCCGTCCTCCACAAAATTCACCCGTCTCGGACGTTGGGACGGGCTATCTTTCCTACACTGGTTATGATTCCAATACATATTTAACTACGAGTAGAAAGTAGTTTTGATTTTCTAACTTGATGAAAACAAACCATAATCTCATTAATTCTAACAAACTTCAGCCCGTCACTTTACGATTTTAAAAAATGACGGCTTCCTGTTGCGAACACCAGCCAGTCTGAGGATAAATGCTATTTAGGTTTGTTTTCACCGACTTACAAAATCAAAACTACTTTCTACTGGTAGTAAAATATGTATTTGATTGATGGCCAATAGGATTTTGCATGACATAGCTTATAACATAACAATTTCTCTCGTGGCAGCGAGGTGGGTGTCAATATAATACTATTATTGTTACTTCGACCACAACCTCGCTTCCGAGGAAAATCTTTATGGTCATCAATCATATATATATTTTACTACAACTAGTAAGTAGTTTTGATTCTTTAACTTCCGTGAAGCGATCTGAACACAAGTATGATATCGTTTCAGGCTTCCACAACGCTCGCTTCGCACTCACAAACATAACCCATTTAGCACGAACTGCGGGGTCCTGTGGAAATCTGTGCATGGTGACACCATTGCCCGACCCCTAGGAGCAATTGACGACAAAGCAGCGATTCGGCATGTCGTCGTTGATGTCGAGAAATCATCAAAATGATGAGCTTGCTACACACTTTCTATACAACTAACTGAAAATCGTTCCTCATATGACGTCACTGCAGTGCTCTGGCGACAGAGTTACGTAACCTGTCTCTGGTTTCGTTGGCGGGCGAGAGTGAAGCAGGCAACTTTTTGGCAACTTTCAATCGCTCGGTATTAATTAACCACAAGTTTTTTAAGAATGAATTTTGTGGTCCGCATAAGTCTAACCACAAATCTTTCATATGTAATAGTTAAAGAGTACAAAAAAACATGTAATTTTTTGAGTAAAATTGATATTTTATACTTATCCTGACTCATGCTCTTTTGCTTGTCTCCTTCCTCTTGCGAACATAGTGGAACACTTGTATCTCCCTAATTGAAGTTCCCTTCAATGTAAAATCACTAATTAGTACACCACGAGTTACCTCCCTTCCACAAGCGCGGGAACGAGGGCGCCACCTCTACCCATGTGCCTCACTCTCTCCTCATATACTGAGCCCAACATTTGAATTTACAGGGAAATCCAAAGTGTTATTTGGGGAGGATGGGAGGGCTGACCTCATGAGTCAGGATAAGTATAAAATATCAATTTTATTCCAAAAATTACATATTTTCCTTATCCTGACTCATGCTCTACTTGTAGAATCCTACAGAGCGGAGGTGGGAATATATAATACTTTGGATTTAAATAATTAGTGATTTGAACTGTGATGATTGTAATAACCCTATGGGAACTTCATAAGGCACTGAACTGATGAATTCCTGCTGCTAACTTATCAGCTGCCATATAAAGGTTATTACAATGTACTTATTATGATAAAGTATATATAACATTAATACAATGCTTAAGACTAATAGACTTAAGCTTGTTAATATGCTAGTATAAACTCCTTAGAGTTTGTTAGCTAAATTACTTTAAAATATAAACATAGTACTAAGCTTAAGATATGATTAAACTTAAGCTAATTATATAATAGCAAAACTCTTTTTAGAGTTTGTTAGTTAATGTACTTATATGATATAGACATAGTGCTGAGCTTAAGATATGAATAAGCTTTAGCTACATATATAATAGCAAAACTGTGTAGAGTTTGTTAGCTAATATATTTTTACAATATGAGTATAGTACTGTGCTTAAGATATAATTAACTTAAGCTACATATATAATAGCCAAAACTCTGTAGAGTTTATTAGCTTATAGATTTATAATGTAACCATAGTACTAAGCTTAAGATAAGATTAGACTTAAGCTAAATGTATATAGCAAAAAAACTCCTTAGAGTTTATTAACTAATATACTTTTATGTTATAACCATAGTACTGAGCTTAAGATATAATTAAACTTAAGCTATATATATAATAGCAAAACTTAAGTAGAGTTTTGTTAGCTAATACATTTTATAATGTAACCATACTGCTTAAGATATGATGAAACTTAAGCTAATTGTATAATAGCAAAAACCCTTTAGAGTTTGTTAGCTAAAATACTTATATGATATAAACCTAGTATTGAGTTTATGAAGGAAACCTTAAGCTACATATATAATAGCAAAAACTCCATGAGAGTTTGTTAGCTAATATACTTATATGATATAAACATAGTATTGAGCTTTGAAGGAAACCTTAAGCTACATATATAATAGCAAAAAACTCTGTAAAGTTTGTTAGCTAATATACTTATATGATATAACCATAGTATTGAGCTTAAGATTTGAAGGAAAACTTAAGCTACATATATAATAGCAAAAACTCCGTAGAGTTTGTTAGCTAATACAAGTTATAATGTAACCATAAAGCTTAAATTATGATGAAACTTAAGCCAAATATATAATAGCAAAAAACTCTTTTAGAGTTTTGATAGCTAATATACCTATATGATATAAACATAGTACTGCTCTTAAGATATGAATAAGCTTAAGTTACATATATATAATAGCAAAAAACTCCGTGAGTTTGTTAGCTAATACATGTTATAATGTAACCATATTGCTTAAGATATGATGAGACTTAAGCCAAATAGCAAAACTCTTTTTAGAGTTTGTTAGCTAATATACTTATATGATATAAACATAGTACTGAGCTTAAGATATAAATAAGCTTAAGCTACCTATATAATAGCCCAAACTCTGTAGAGTTTGTTAGCTTATATATTTTACAATCTGAGTATAGTACTATGCTTAAGATATAATTAAGTTAAGGTAAATATATAATAACCAACTCTGTAGAGTTGTTAACTTATATATTGTATGATGTAATAATCATAGTACTGTGATGATAAAAGAACTTAAGCAAATTATATATAGCATGTAGCTATTTAGTACTGTTATAAGATAAGT